TTTTTTTTTTTTAAATAATGGAGGCTCTCCCGGGCCACGGGCCGGCCCGGGCTCGAGCCGACTCCCCAAAGTGGGGCTCGGCCCGAGCCTAGTCTCGGTTCCACCGGGCCCGGTTCGGGCTTTTTTCGAGCCGAGCCCGGGCCGTCCAAGCCTCCGAACTTTTTTGCCATCGCTAAATATTGGTGAGTTTGGTAGGTTAGAAATGGACCCCATATCTTATATTTATTGATTGATTGTCCATTTATGCCACTCCAACTACTTGCAATCTACTGTGGTAGATTTTTGATTGAGACTTGAATTTGGTGTCCTTGTTGTAGTATTGTTGAGGAAATGTGACCTTTTGTGTTCACTCAATTGTCGATGATTTGCAAACAACATATATTCAATCTTTTATCGTATGGTGTTATATATATTTGATGGGCTTTGGAAGATAAGTAGTGTACAATGTGTCGGGAAAGATTTTTGTAGAATCAGTTTTGTAAAAAGCGATTTTCTTGAAGAATACATGATTAAAAACAAATTTGTATGTATATAGTGAGATCCAACAAGTCATCGAACATCTAAAAAATATATCTATCTAATCATAGTATGGACATTTTAAAAATTTGGCTATAACATAACGTTGTGAAACAAAAAGAGCAGAAAGTGATACAACTATTATCTGATTCAACTTCTACATTGTTGGTAATTCGTAAACAACATAAACTTGGATCAAGCACAATATGTTAAAAAAATGTACAAATCATTCTGACCAACACCTTCAGTAAAACTAATTTTTCAAGTTTTTTACCACCACCACGAAATCACTTGGCTTTCATAAGCAAAAAATTACCCAAATAGCTCGAGTTTATGAATTATCACACCATTTTATTTAATATTCCTTCGTCTGGCTTAACAAATGCAAGTTGAGAATTTATATTCGAGACTGAGAAAGGGGCTAAGTTCTATTTTACACCACTATGGGCTAAGTTCTATTTTACACCACTAAGCATTGTATTTTACAGACTTTTCAATAAAATACATTTTGTGTACATATTTACAAGGTAATATTAACAAAGAGGAGGAGAAAGAGAGGCTAAGTACTTCAGAAATATTTGTGAAAGGTTTCTTCCTCTGCACAAGATCTATGAATGACTTTGTAGACCTCAATTAGAAGATTTGGAAATCGACTTGAGAAATAGTAGTCAAATCCTTCAGGAACCGGTCCTATTATTCCCTGAATTTCCTTTGAAAGTTCCCTGAAGTGGTTCAATTTGTTTCTTATCACGCGCAACAAGTCACGGACGCTATCGAATTTATAACGCCTATAACGGCCGATGTCATTGATAAAGATGTTGTCCATCTTTTCATCCCATTTACAGCCCAAAGCAACTTTTCCAATACTTTCAAGTGCCTTCAAGAGTTCAGATTCATTCTCCCTGTCTTCTAGTTCGACACGATCACTAGCATCTCGAAGAAATGAGAGTCGCGTCTCAGAGTTCCAAAAGAAAGGATGTTGTATTACCTCCATGGACTTTGGCCTATAGAATAACATTACAAGTATATTGTCACCACAGTTAATACAAGATTGAGCAACGTGCTATAAAAACAAAGGTTATAGAAAGAATTGCTCTAAAGTGGAATGCTCTAGTGAAGTATGACAAGAAAGAACATTGGGACATTACCTCAAATCTGGGTTTGGATCTAGGAGCCGGGAGATAAGATCTGTTGCTTCTGGTATATGTTCTATCAAGAAGAGGTCTTTCTCATTATTGATTATATTTATATCACGTACAAAACTTTCCCCAAACGGATGTTTGCCCCCAGTTATGCAGAAAAAGAGAATACAACCTAAACTGAATAAATCTAGGGCACGTGTTTGACGTTCATGGCGCAATTGTTCTGGTGCTTGCCAACCTGAACTCCCATAACCTGTGTAAAACAAAAAAAAAAATTCGTAGACAAAATACAAGATCAATAACATTCTGCCATCGGACCAATTTCCACAACTAGACAATATGCAGTAGTCAACTTGAGCATATCTATTGCAAGACAATACATGTACTCACCAGTAGCACTTTTGGTTAAAGACGTGTCTCCTGCTAGGCGCTTGCTGATGCCCATATCAGAAAGCTTTGCACATAAAGATCTATCCTTTATTACAAGGACGTTTTGAGGCTTCAGATCTCGATGTATAATTCCAAGTTCATGCAAATGTGCTAGTCCACAAACAATATCCCTGTAGTTCATGATAGAGATGATAGTCAATAAGCCACATATAAAAGAAAAAGGATAGCAGTACAATAACTAGCAAAAACAAACTTTTGTAACTGCACCTTAGAATGACTTTTTAGAATGTTAAACTCGACAAACATAAATATGATGTGAAGACAGTGTATACAATCATGAGATACTTGTGTACAAAAATTGTAAATTACAATTTTGTATGAAGTAAAATTAGTTCAAGTATAAATGTCTACCAGGGAACATTGAGTGAATTACACGCGTTGAAAATATTTCCCTGTTACATCCTTCAAGTAAAAAGTGACTTGTATGTCATGCTTACAGAAGTCATTTTATAACCTAGCTCAACTTTTAATAATATATTTCATGTCATTTACCACTTCTGGTATAATGCATGGAGAAGTCTTACAAATAGAACAAAAAGGCTGTCAAGTTTCATGTCTTTTCTTTTACTTCGTGGGGTTTTTTCTTCTTGGGTGAGTGGAAGAGGGACAGATGCATTATGTTTCTAAATTAGACAACTTTTAACAGAAATACATACATATGAACCATAATGGATTGAGAGAATATCAAACAAACCTCATTAATTTTAACAAGCAAGCAGATGGATAGCCATTAGCCTTCCACAGTTCAAGACCCTTGTCATTTCCAAGCACCCACTGCAACCGGATAGTGCAATCACTAGGAGACTCATTATCTTGTTCTCCTATAGGTATCTGATTCCGAGAAGGGGTGTAATATGATATTAAATCATGTAAACTGCATGTACACCGTTCCAGAGAAAGGTAGACAAAATCCTGATCATATTCCACTCCATACCATCTGACAATGTTTGGATGATGATCTGATGCAATAAGATTCTGAATCTCCTTTGAAGCCACATCATGATGAGTCTGGACAAGGCGTTTAACAGCCACTAAACGGCCATCATAAATTCCTTCAAGTACAATAGTTCCATTGCTTCCCTTGGCAATTTGCTTATCAGTGACCAACAACTTCCCAATCTGGCGTCCATTTACAAGACTATTGTAGTTACTTGAATAATTTGGCAAGAAATTTCCTTTAGTTATTTCAATGTTTTGGAGATCATTTCTGCCCTGCACATGGTCTGAAATATTGTTCATCTCGTTCTCAACAATAGTGCTATTTTTAATGGTTGCAGTTCTGCGACTTCTCTTCTTTTTGGTTTTTACAACTTGAAACTTATTGTCTTCAGGCTGCTCGTACAATTTACCGTGTCCCCTGACCACTGCGCGTCTTACATAGAAAAAGAAAGCCGTGATGAATGGCACCAATGCAGCATATAAAATGGAAGGCCAGAAATGAGAGCGTAGTAAATTATGATGGTCTAGGTTGTCATTCATATGATGATCACCACCTCCAGGCAGACCCTTGATAGTAAATTTTCCAGTTTCAGGTTTGGGCAAAGCCAGCAACATTTGTCTCTCATTATCATGATGAACACCTAAAAACTTATCTGCTGGCTCTAAAAGAGGATCGTGATCAGCAGCAGGTAAAGAAAGCACTTTGCCCCTTGGAAGAGCATCTGATAACTTGTCAACCATAAAAAGGGATCCTAGTGAGCTATGGTCACGGATCCGATAGACCACAGGCCTTGACTGGCAATGCATTGCCAAATTTGTATCAAGCTTATATCCTGGATCAAATTTGTCAACCTCAGGTAAAATTCGACCCAGAAAATTCTCAATTCCTTCACATTGGAATGAAGCTTCAATATCAGCAAACTTCAGGTGCCAAAGAACTTTCCCGGTCTTCTTGGAGGTATACTTCAGATTATAGTCTATCCTTGTAACATAGAGTGGCTTCTCAATATCCTCCAAGTCTGCGGGACCAGATCCTACCCATTCTTCAATATCCTTTCTAGCTAGAATAGAAGATTCATCGACTTCCTGCTCTTCAACTGAAGGAAAATTATCAGTTTTAAATGTACGAAATACTTTTCCAGTTTTTATATCAACAAGAAATACAGCCGTTGTCTTTGATCCTAACATGACACCACCACGAGTTGATACAAATGGAGTGCGCCTTACAAATTCTTCAGCACTCAGATCGAGCCTCTGCGATAGAAAATTACATCTAACAAGTTATGTAAGAAACCATGAGGAAGATGAGGGTACTTTATGACAAAGTGGACGGAACGCTAGAATCTGGAGAAAAAGATGCTTGAAACAGCTCATCCTCATTATCAGAAAATCATGCAATCCGACGAAACATACACCAGATTAAGACCCTATAAAATGAGACCTACGAAAGCCTTATGGATGGACATACCACTTTATTGAAGCCTTTTGCATGTAAGTAGAGTTCCCAGTCTTTTCCACAATCTATGTAGAAATTATCAGCGTCAGCAGAGGAATCAAGTTTTTCACCGTCATCACTGGGGAGTGTCTGATACGAGGAATAAATAGATGGGCCCGATGAAAAAGAAGAAACAATTTGTCCCGAACTAATCTCAACAAAATATACCATGCCATCTGGAGCAGCCACTATTGCAGTATCATGTGTACTGATTTTAAATCCACAAGCATAAGAGATGATAAGATGACATTTAGCATGTGAATGAAGAGGACAACCCAATAACGGAACAAACAAATAGCATATAGGAGGAAAAAATATGATTTCACAAATACGAAAATTATACCCTGCCAACATTTCAATCTACTATCCACTCTCCACAACAAAAAAAAAACAAAAGGAAAAACAAAAGTGGTTAATGCTTCACAGTGCCCTTCTTCAAGAAATCTCATTAAGCTAGTTCACTTGATTAAAACTAGGTAGGCAACATGTACAATCACTGAAACATTGTTTTATTTTCCACCCATGGTCAGAATAACAAGACATATGATTATCCCTTTTTATGCTACTATAAATGCTCACTATAGAGGAAAACAACATTGTTTATGATGAAGGTCTTGATTTGAACCAACTCGACAACTTCTTCACTGTTTCAGTTGTCCAGCACATAATCGCTGCATAACCCACAACAAACATTTCATATCCATAAATGCCAAAATAACATTTTCCCTTTTTGGAAAAAAAAAAGAAAAACGATTTTTCAAACTCATTCTCAGTACGCACAATTTGAATTTCAACAAAACCCAGAGACATGGAAAAATCCAGTTTCTAGTTCTCGAATTTTGTCACTGACAAGCTGACACATAAACAAGCATTATCAATAGCCTCTATAGCCTCTACTGAATATATCAATTACTCTAGATCAGGAAAAAAGAAAAAAAAAAATACACACACACATACACTCTAATATGTTCACAAAAATCAACTTGAATTATAGGTTAAATACAGTTACCAATTGTGCATTTTTAATATTAAATTTAGAATTTTAAATATCTTTAAAAATTAATTGAATCTTCACAAAATTATTAGATAACATGGAAAAATTTGAAACTAAAAGACAGGACTTACGGTGTAAGCGGAGGATTGGTAGGTAGACCGTCGGAACCACTGAGAATCTCAGGATCTGGATCAGGGTTATCGGGGATTGATTTAACCCCCAATACAAAAGCTAAAATTAGGAGGGTGACAAACAGAAATGCAATCAATAGACCTCCGCCTCTCATCTGAAGATTTCAACGGATTTCGTCGATCCGGTTGAAAAGAATGTACTATTCCAAAAGAAATCCGTTGCGAGTTTTGTAATGATAAATGAACTTTCTGCAATTTAATATTTTGAATAAAAATCGATTCTTTCTAGGGTTTTCCAATCGTGAGAATTGGGTCAAATAGCCTACAATTTGGGATTTAGGCCTTGTTTGACACCCATTTTAGGGAAGAAATTTGATTTGGAATAGTGATTGATGGAAGAATATGTGGTTAAAAAGTAAGGAGAATTTTTGGGTTTATGAGTAATATTATTTTATTGATAGAATGTGTGGTTGAAATGAAGAAAGAGAAAAAAATGAGAAAGAGAATGAGAAAAAAATGGGTGTCAAACATAGGCTTAGTCTTCGATCGGAATAATATTCTTAAAATAAATTTTTTAAATCATAATTTATAAACTACCTAATATACCCTCACTAGAAAACCTAATTTCCCATTTTTTTTTTTTAAATAATAATTGAATTCTCAAAATCCTAAATCTAATATCCTTCTTTCTCTTCACGATCGACAAACCTTTCTTATTTTCTCTTTGTGGCTTCGTCATCTCCAAATCCTTCTACCATTCAAAATCAATTGCCTTCGTCTTTTTGAGCGAAATGAGGAATTTGATACGAAGGTTTCATCCATTTTCCAAGAGTGATTGAAATAGCACAATAGGTGATTTTGAATAACTTATGTTTGTTTTTGTTGTAAATATGACTTACTCTTGTTTGAGGCTGCACACAATTATCTATTTTCATGAAACCTAGACTTGCTCCTATAAAGAAATTACGTTATGAAATTGTGGCAAATTGCAACAAGCAATTTATTGTTTTTCACAGAAAATGAAATATGTCTTCTTGTTATGTTCCACTTATTGTTTAGAGGTTTTTGCTTTTAGATTAAAAAAGGCATTTTACCGGTAACCTATTATTCTTTTTGATTCTTAGTGTTGAGCTGATAATTGGAAGTAAAGATGCCAATTTAATAAAAATTGCTATCGGAAACTAGATATTTAAGTATCTATCTACATGCTAAAAATATTTAAATGTCATGTTAGTTGCATTGTTAGCGTAATGAAATTGATATTCTGTGATATCATTGAAATCTTAGCAAATTGGCACTATTTTGTGTTATTTAACCAAATGTCTTCTTCAAGGTTTTGGACTTCGTTGATTTTGCAGATAGATAAAATATGAGGTTTTGAGCTCATTCTTTTTTCTTAAAATTCCACGAAATACTTTCTCTTAACTATTCTTTGATGAACGCTTATATTGTATTGTGGTATCTGCTTGTCAATGGGACATGGATGAACTATTTTTTCTCCTATAATGTGGTTTTCTCTAGTGAGATGTGTTGTATTCAAGAGGTTCGCATCAAATGGAAAATGGTAGAGTAATAAAAGATCTTGATTTTTTACTGTAATTAATATATGGTAGTATTTTGCATGTTTTTCCATGATGTAAATTGTATTTACTTGGTTGAGATTGTGATATGTGATATGTTAGTTGTTGAATTTTTCAGTATGGCACCCTTAAGTTTATCTAGTTTGGAAAATGGCACCCTGTCGTTTATGTAATTCTGAAAATGTCACCTTGTCATTTATTTTTATTTCTTTAAAAATAAATTGTACTAAGTATCATTTAAACACTACTGTAAATTCTTCATATTTGTTCATTGATTAATTAGCATGATTGTTTTATGATTTTTATAGTAGAAATGAAACACTTTTTTTAGTATGTCATTCCTATTGAAGATAGAATTAAAGGTGCCTTCACATAAGTGCTCCCTTAAAAACTTGACTATGTTCGAGAGAAGTTAGATGATGTTCACCGAGAAATGCTTATGAAATCTTGTTTTGGACAATTATATCAAATGAAACGTATATCTTTTTCAGGCCAACTAGTCCACCAACTTGTAATGGGGATGATTATAACCAAAAATCAAAATGAGATCTAATTTTCAATTGATGGTAAGCCAACAAGATTTTCATTATACGAATTCACATGTATAATGAGGTTGAGAGCTAGTGAGGAGCCTTCATTGGAGCCCCATGTTATAAATAATTATAGACTGGTGAAGAAATACTTAAAAAGTGTAAGGCATAATTGTTTACAATTTGAAGGAAGCTGTTGAAAGTCACGAGGTGTGCATGGAAAACAAGTACAAGATTGGGCTTGTATATATTGTGGAAATGGTATTACAGCCCAAAGAAAACTACACCTACATAAATTTAGAAGACTTGTCAATAGTTGATGACTTAGAGGTTTTTAATAGTTATCCTTAGGGTAGAAATGCTTTTGGCCGCACAATTAATGTATTCATGAGAGATTGGAGATTCTTGGTGAAGTCATACTTGATAAATAATGAGAAATATCTGGTTTATGGATTTCCACTCGCATTGCAAGTAATGCTTTTAAAATTGCAATTTATTAGCCATTCTATTTAAATTGTAATATTTTGAATCTTATGCAGATTTGGGCTTACGAATCCATACCATCTATCGGACGGAGATATTTTGACAATTGAGAGGAGACTAACTTTCCAAGGATATGTCGATGGGATTCTTCTAAAATGCCTAATTCCAAGAATGTTTGCCAGTCTGGAGAAATCAAATGTAAGTATATTTTAAATGTAGATTAAAATATATTGTGTACTTTCTGAAATTATATGTACCTCTCATTTTTTATATAGATTGTTGTTCATTGCACACTTAAGCCTACGCAGGAGGAGGCTTCTAAAGCATATTTGATGGAGATTTATCTATTTACTTTTGAAGTAGGATCCAACAGTTGATATCTTTGTGGATAATGTAAATGATGCAGATTCGTCCATTCCTGCTGATTTTCCTCAGCAAATTTGTTAGTCTCTTAATGCCTCTACATCTCCTCGGGATCTATCTTCCTTGTATAGGCCACCTACTTTTATAGATGCTCATACATTTCATTCGGGACCGTCTACATCGTATCCATCTCTTTATCCATCTAGAGATGAGTTCACTCAGGAATTAAGGATGCAATTAGTATACATGGTAAAGACTTTAGGTAGGAAAAATGAAAGACGAATAGATGAGATGTGTTCTTACATATATCGAAAGTTTGAGTGTGTTACATCTTTGTGTACACAAATTGACGAAAATGTATCATCTGTTGTGTAGTGGATTAAGAATTCTAACCCATCGATACCTTACATATATCACTCTTCTCTTCATGGTGGATTTATGAATACTGGAGAGGAACGGGTTGATATGAATGATGATCCAATTCTTGTAGAAGTTGAAAATGATGAGACTAAAGATGGCAATGAGTAAAAATAAGCAGCAGAATAAATTGTTGGTAAATGATTCAGTTCCTATAGAAGAAAAAAATTTGTTGGTAAATGAACCAGTTTCCAACCAGATTATGTAGTAACCCACTATAGTTTAAACAAATGTGTCGACTGCAATGTCGAAATATAGTTAAAATTTTCATCCCTAAACTTTCACGTGATTTCGGGCATGATTGAACCAAAACGTACACTAAATGAGTAGAAATGTTAGCTATAAGTTTAAAACGACGAGATGCCGCTTTGGGTCGCGGGGTATCGATTTCACTCGAAAATTAGTGAAACAATGTTTGAAACATCTGATAATTACGTTTTATATACTTATTTTATTGTCAAAACATGAGCAATTGTTGATTAATATGTTGGAATATAGTTTAATTCTATGCAATTCATATTTTGCAGGACATGTGATGAATGTATCGAAAATAAGGAGAAACAAGTGAAAAATGACCAGAACTGAAGAAATTGGTAAGCCAACAAGATTTTCATTATACGAATTCACATGTATAATGAGGTTGAGAGCTAGTGAGGAGCCTTCATTGGAGCCCCATGTTATAAATAATTATAGACTGGTGAAGAAGTACTTAAAAAAGTGTAAGGCATAATTGTTTACAATTTGAAGGAAGCTGTTGAAAGTCACGAGGTGTGCATGGAAAACAAGTACAAGATTGGGCTTGTATATATTGTGGAAATGGTATTACAGCCCAAAGAAAACTACACCGACATAAATTTAGAAGACTTGTCAATAGTTGATGACTTAGAGGTTTTTAATAGTTATCCTTAGGGTAGAAATGCTTTTGGCCGCACAATTAACGTATTCATGAGAGATTGGAGATTCTTGGTGAAGTCATACTTGATAAATAATGAGAAATATCTGGTTTATGGATTTCCACTTGCCTTGCAAGTAATGTTTTTAAAATTGCAATTTATTAGTCATTCTATTTAAATTTTAATATTTTGAATCTTATGCAGATTTGGGCTTACGAATCCATACCATCTATCGGACGGAGATATTTTGACAATTTAGAGTAGACTAACTTTCCAAGGATATGTCGATGGGATTCTTCTAAAATGCCTAATTCCAAGAATGTTTGCCAGTCCGGAGAAATCAAATGTAAGTATATTTTAAATATAGATTAAAATATATTGTGTACTTTCTGAAAATTAAATGTACCTCTCATTTTTTATATAGATTGTTGTTCATTGCACACTTAAGCCTACGCAGGAAGAGGCTTCTAAAGCATATTTGATGGAGATTTATCCATTTACTTTTGAAGCAGAGGATCCAACAGTTGATATCTTTGTGGATAATGTAAATGATGCAGATTCGTCCATTCCTGCTCATTTTCCTCAGCAAATTTGTTAGTCTCTTAATGCCTTTACATCTCCTCGGGATCTATCTTCCTTGTATAGGCCACCTACTTTTATAGATGCTTATACATTTCATTCGGGACCGTCTACATCGTATTCATCTCTTTATCCATCTAGAGATGAGTTCGCTCAGGAATTAAGGATGCAATTAGTATACATGGTAAAGACTTTAGGTAGGAAAAGTGAAAGACGAATAGATAAGATGTGTTCTTACATATATCGAAAGTTTGAGTGTGTTACATCTTTGTGTACACAAATTGACGAAAATGTATCATCTGTTGTGTAT